CTTTTTTTTTAATAAGAAATTTCAACAAAATTGAAACTAATGGAAAATATTAACTTGCATCTTTGCAAGTGCCAAACATCTGTTTCACTTCTAGAAATCCCCTCTTAAGTATTTAAACAATGTCTTTCAATTAAGGTGAGAAAAATTTATATAAGTGCTGAGAGTACCACAAATGTTGCAAGAGTTATGAGTTATCAATACAACAACGGTAATTTTGATAATGTATCCCAAGCACAAATACAGGCTTGGCGATGACTGGATTGAGAGCAGCCATGCAGAAAAGGACTTTGGGGTGCTGGTAGATGAAAAGCTGAGTATGAGCCAGCAATGTGCGCTTGCAGCCCAGAAAGCCAATTGCATCCTGGGCTGCATCAAAAGAAGTGTGGCCAGCAGGCCGAGGGAGGTGATTCTGCCCCTCTACTTTGCTCTTCTGAGACCCCACCTGCAGTGCTGCGTCCAGCTCTGGGGCCTCCAGCATAAGACTGACATGGACCTGCTTGAGCCGGTCCAGAGGAGGGCCATGAAGATGCTCTGGGGGCTGGAGCACCTCCCCTGTGAGGACAGGCTGAGAGAGTTGGGGTTGTTCAGCCTGGACAAGAGAAGGCTCCAGGGAGACCTTATAGCGGCCTTCCAGTACTTAAAGGGGGCCTGCAGGAAAGGTGGGGAGGGACTCTTCATAGGGCAGTGTAGTGATAGGATGAGGGGTAATGATTTCAAACTGAAAGAGGCGAGATTTAGATTAGGAAGAAATTCTTCACTGTGAGGGTGGTGAGACACTGGAGCAGGTTGACCAGAGAAGCTGTGGCTGCCCCCTCCCTGGCAGTGTTCAAGAGCAGGTTGGATGGGGCTTTGAGCAACCTCATCTAGTGGAAGCTGTCCTTGCCCATGGCAGGGGGGTGGGAACTGGCTGATCTTTAAAGTCTTTTCCAGCCCCCAAAATTCTATGATTCTATGATACCTGCAAAACCATAACTGGTCTTCTCCTGGAACTTACCACACTTACATTCGTACTTTGAGACTTGAACTGAAAGTAGCAATTTAAACATTAAATGTATAGGAGTGAATTGAGTGAGAGACCAGTTCTAGATTTTCTGTCTCCAATATTGAAATAATTTTTACGGCAAAACTTAACAGTTCATGCCATCTGAAACAAACAAGATCAATTACAGTGCATAAAATAAAGTATGTTAACATATTTTTGCAGGATCAGGTCTACAAGGATGTTTTCCACTAGATAGTCCATTTGGACAACTAGACCAAAAGGTAAGAGGTAATTGACTTTTCTTTCATATTTATTGCAGGGGAATAGAGCATAAGTTTTTTCCTTAGCTATGCTATGCTATGCTATGCTATGCTATGCTATTCTATTCTATTCTATTCTATTCTATTCTATTCTATTCTATTCCATTCCATTCCATTCCATTCCATTCCATTCCATTCCATTCCATTCCATTCCATTCCATTCCATTCCATTCCATCCCATCCCATCCCATCCCATTCTTCTTATGGAACTATTTACTTCCTAGTATGTTTTACTGCTGGAATGCACTTGGATCCATGCACCATTTCACCTGCTAGAAATACAAAATGTTGTGTCACTACCTAGCTAAAATATTTAAAAAAAAAAAATAAAAATCCCTACTTATTAGTTTTTGGCATTGGAGATCTTGACTTTTTCATCTGCTAACATTTAAGAGACTGAAATTCACTGAATTGAATTTTTTCAGGCTCTTATTTAAAAATTGTTTTTATCAAGTTGCTTTTCTTGCTTTCTATCTGCAAATTAATTTAAAAAAATAATCTCAGCCGGTCATATAAAATGTAAATACTTTTCAGGAATTGTCTTCATAGAATATCTGACACTAAACTCAACAGCATAAAAATAAAAAAATTGTAGTTCCACATTGTGAATACAAAATAAAGGCCAAAACATGGCCTTTAGGAATGCTATCATTACTTCAAAATAAGATTAAGGGGAATTAATATATTCCAGTACCGATTTTATTTTATTCAGATACTACTTTCCTGCTATTTTACAATTTGTTTTCAAGCTTATTTCCTATTCAGAAATTAACCATTACTCCTGCAAATCAGCTCGCTTGGCTTTTCTCAGACCAATGCATTCTGAAAATTCACCTTTAGTACCTTATAACAATTCCCATCTTCCACTCTACAGCTTCATGGACTGGTGCATCTGGTGCAGGCTGGACCTCATTTTCTTCACATCTTCAATCACTGAAAGGAGACCGACTAGGGCAGGATTGACCAAAAGCAAACAACTAGAGCAAAGGTGTTGTCCAAAAATTACTTTACACAGGAAGCTAACATACTTCTTTTGCTCTTCCACTCACATACTTGGAATACTTTTAACATACCTCCAAAATTTCAGCCAATCTTGTAATTACATTGCACACAGGAGCAAACAACAAACGTGAAAGTTCCTTGGAACTGCTTACAAAACTTGCATTTTGGGACAAAGCTGTGTTTATATTAACTTAATTCAGTGCTAGCAAACTGAAGCAAAGAGTGTTCAGTGAATGGGCCAAAGCCCCACATGAAGTTCACCCAAACTGGAGCAGGGACGGGTCTGGCCTGTCTTTATACTCCTAACAGAGCATCAGCATGTATCCATTAATGAAGCTTTTAACCAAAAATATTGCAAAAGCAGTACAGTTCTACAGGTCAGTGGTAGGACACTGCTATGTCTGTGTCTCATAGTCCGGGGATCACAGTTTGGAATTGTAATACTGGGACATAGTTCACATAATGTTAGACTCTACTTCTTGCCCTGATCTCAAGGTAATAAATACATATATGAATGTATACACACACATACATGTAAGAGCCTACATACAGACATGCAAACGTATGCTACCACATCAGTATGACATTTCAGCAAAACAAAACTGTTAACCCTTAAAAAACCTCAGAGCCATTCCACCTAATAATGGGGAACGCCTTCACATACATCCAGTATAAAAACAAACACCAGAATTTTTAAAGAATTAACACAAAAAGCTAGTAAATACTTCCCAGTCCAATCAGTAACACAGGCATAGTTAGTCTCAATTAGTGTATCTTTGGGCACTTAATATGCTGGGGCCTGTAACATTACTGGCCATTTTCAGAGCAGTCAGTTGACCAAAGACCACAATGGGGGACCAAAGGTTATAGGATTATGAACATCAGGCAACAAAAGACAATACTGACAAATGAGTTAGTGGATCTAGAGCTTACATCAAAATGGATAGACTTTGGATACGCATGGACAAGTGCTTCCTTACTCTTTACTCAACTCACTCTAACCAAGCTGAAAGATTTTGCTTCCGTCTACATCCATGCATACAGCTGGTACACAATACTCTGCTGTATCCATGCATCGGACACAAACCAAGATTAACATTTATTTTTATGACAAAAGTGAAAGTAGTGGCTTGCCATTTAATCGTACTTCAGCGCCTATCTCCTTTTTAGCTGTGTGCTACACTACACCTCTCTCTCCTCATTTCCCACCCCACTAGCAGGAACGTAAAGCATTATTTTGCCTTCCTGATGCTTATACGCAAACACTTATCAATACTACACAGCCAAATATACCTTCAGGCAACTAATAAAGATAACTTTCTGGACAGAATGTGGATGTACCTCTGCTGGAGAAAGCAAGTCTGGCTAATAGTTGTAGCAAGTGTATTCAAATACGACTCAGAAGAATTCTTGCAGGTGTTGTGAATGTTTATATAAACCTCTACAAGTTCAGTCACTATGGCAGATGTCTTTGAACAGATATGACAGTCTTATTCTATTTCAGTTTTGAAGAACGCTTTGGAATGGTGGGGTTATGAAATAATAAAGAGTCAAATTCCTGATTGAAATTTCCTTCACATCTTAGATACACAGATTCTTAAGATGTTACCTGTGGCAACATAAAAAAACCATTTTTCTAGTATGAAATTCTTCATTTAATAGAACAGAGAAAATAAGACTAAGTTGAACTACTGCCAATATAATGCTATATGTCTTTAAAAACTTGGGATTATATTTGAAGTATGAAAAAGGCATAACCACAATGCTTTGTGATTCTTTCATTTATTGTGTGAAAATACGCATTGCCATCACAGTTTCCTTTTTTTGGTTTAGCTTGCAGTGTCCTTTAAACAAAGGTGAAGAATTTGCAACAAATTCTCCACTAGCTTTAGAGACTTTCTTTGGCTTGAATCCAGAGCAAGTTGCGCTTGTTGTTGCCTTATGTTGGGCATTTTAGCATGATGATTATCATTGTATTACTTTCCATTCCCTCCTCTTAATTTTAATCTTACCAACCTCTCATTTCCAATATTAAAAAAATATAAAAATGCATTGAAGCCTTCTTGTTTGTGCATGAGAAAATATGAACAAAGACTATAAATCACTTTTTGTTTCACAGATACTGAATGTGACTCATTTGTGGGTAACAATGGCAAACATACTATGTGTAAAACTACTTAGTTTAACTCTGAGTTATGAAATATGGTGGATCTATAAACACCCTTGTTATGAAAAAAATTTATACTTATGACATGAAGTTATTTAGATAAGAAATTTATCAAAGGCAGGACATTTCATTTCCTCAGCTCTAAAGAATTCCCATTGAAAGATTACTGATCAGGAAAGAAAAGGGTTGAAAAGTGCTGTGTAAGGACAAAGGAACATCGATTACTTGCTTTTTGCTAAGTAACTTTCTACTAATTCCAATAATCTAATGCATATGTCCCATATACCAAGTGACTGTTAAGCTGTACATCGCTCACTGATATGCTAGAAGTTGTGGTCAGTAAGTCTTTACACGCTTAAGTCATATAGTATCTTGGCTCTCAAAAGTAACCACTATTTTAGCACTAACATAGCTAGAATATAACTGAATTCAGCTTTGGAACTGCAACAGGAGATTTCTATAGTTTACTTTCAATGTATATGTTATGTTGACACAAATAATTTCTACAAATTATCAAATCCAACTATTTTTAAAAGGACTCATTCACAATTCTTTCTAACTCAAAGTAAATATTTACTATTATGTACTGTACAGCATAATGCTGGACTACATTTATAATGTACTGCAAAATTTGTGGGGTTGCCAGATCCAACTTTTATAAACTCTTATAGAAATTCTTCTAAGAATCCAAGCACAAATACAGCTGTAAATGCTTAATAATATTTTAAAATATTTGTCGCAAACACATAACTGGCCAAATATGCAATTGATTTTTTTAAATGTATGACACAACTATTATACTTTTAGTAAAAGAAAGCTTTAATGGAATAAATGGCTAAGCAAGTTACAAGCTACGTTGAAAAGTGGTATATACTACATTTACCATGAGGGATGAAATGTACTTTGTACTGTTACAAAATAAGTTGGATAAGAATCTGTTTATGAGTCTTTTCCTGAAGCACTTAACCACTACTAACTGAGTACAAATACTGTTGTGTCCATGTCCCATGGTTTGAATGATTCTACAAACTTATTTTCATAACATTACCTTTGCAACTGGGACTCCACCCGTCACTCAAAGAAGAGAAACCATCACTGAATCTCAGCCAGGAAAGCGAGGCATTTTCCCCAAGTTCTTTCTAGGAATTCCTTCCATAAGCTGCTACTTTTTAGTATAGTCCATAAAGCATATTTATTACTCTGACAGGTGCACGGGCTTTGACCAAGGTCCATTTACTCTGCCTCGTATGTAATCATATAAAACCTATTATACCAAATGATTTGGAGTTAAAGATATCTTCCAACCTCAACTTAAATACAGGCAGACTTTATAGATCTTATGCCAGAAAAAGCTAGCTGTCCTTACATATGATTTTTTTTTTTTAAATAAATGGATATGTGTCAATTGATCAATAAGGGAAAAAAGTAGACTGAAATACTTTCTAGAACTCTATGAAAAGAATGGAAATCCTACTAGATAAACCAAGGAGGATTCTGTTTCTTTGAAGATGGTATTTTTGTTTTTTTCACTGATTTGTGAAAACTTCACAAGGACAAGACAGATTAACAATAGTCAGACAATGGAATAATGGCAATGAGCTCCAACTGTGTGTGTAGGTGGAAAGAAAATGAAAGAAAGCCTCCATTCCTGGTGAAAATGGAAATCTAAGAGATTAATGACAGATCAGTTGCTATTGAAGTGCCTGCAGGAAATTACTGTTAATTCAAAATGGTGTGGTCTAGCTGCGAACAGTGAGAAGTCTGCATTAGATGGAGTAGATGATCTGCATTAGCAGTCCTATTGACTAATTTATTTATGATACAAGCTATTTTAACAGTAGACCTATTTTCACTTTCCCCACTGCTTATCCTTCGTAAATGACCAAGTTCAGACATAAACAAGTTCCAGCATCCTTATGGATCGTGTTTTGCCCTGGACGTCTCTTTAAATGTCTTTGGCAATAAGACTCATACTGCTAAAAGGAAACTTCCCCATGTACAGCATAATGGAAGACAGCTCATCCAATACTAAACTTAACAACTAGTAGAGTGAAACTTCCGAAGTTAAATTCTATTTCCCACAAAACTATTGAGCCCATAAAAGCAGGGAATAGAAGAGGCCATTCACATTATCTTCTATTTCCTTCTCAGGAAAACATTCCCAATCAGATTCAAGCTTAGTGATTTTGTTTATTGAGAATATTGAAATCACTGAATTTGATCTTGGGCTGCTACTGCCATATGAAAGAAGTCTTTTAAATTATTTTTTATTTTTATTTTTATAAAGAGCTTCAAAGGAGAGAAGTGTGTTCATTTTTTCTCCTCCTACTGAAAGGAAATCAAACTGTCTTTTAAGCTACATTTTACTGTTTATACATAAGCATTAAACTGCATGTACATAACATTAACAGAATACCTGAAACCAAGTGTCAGAACATTATATCATTTCGTAAGAAGAACAGTGCACTGGCTGTGTAAATCACGCTCAACAGAATACCAGTATATTTTCAGGCTGTCATATACTATGGCTTGAGAGGAAAAGTTAATGAACTTTGTGCCCATGCAAACTGCAGAATAAAGTTAATTTCTGAACATAAAATAGTATCTGTTATTGATACTGAAATGCTTTCAACGAACTGAATTCAGATCACAATTCAAATTTGACAGATTGTATTTATGCCCCATCTTTAAGTTACTGTAATAAGAAACACTGTAAATTTCAACCAATGTGTTAATTTCTGCTTTTTGACTTATGATGAACTTAAAATTCTATAAATATGTATGAAGAAATAATCACAGTAACAAATTGTTTGAAAAAAGGAGTGACAAATCTGATGACATAACTCCCAATCTGGTTTTCTCATGCATTTTAAGACAGGTTTCAGGATTAATAAACTTCACCAATTTCTCACTGCATGAAGTGAAACCCATTAGCCATTAGTAACTCACCCTTTTCTGCTCTTTAATATATTCCATCAGTTCCTCTCTTGTTCTTTTCACTGCTTCTTCGATTGCCTTTTCACTTCGTTTCCGCTCCTCCATTAATGCTTCCTTGACATTTTCCTATTTAAAAGCAAAACATATAAGTGTAAATATTAAAAGTATTTCACAAATGTAATGCAGGTCATCCCTTTCCTTCCTACTAAAATTTTATCATGACCTCACTCCTTTCTCAATGATACTTATCCTAAATGTATGCAGTATCTTTACAAAAATTTATAAATTCAGTACTTTAATAACTAAAGGGCCTAAATAACTTTAAAGCTGTGTTAATAGATATATAATGTTCCCTGAGAGCAGAAAAGGAAGAAATACAGGTATTACATTCCAACAGAAGCAGTGATGTACTAGTTGCTGAATAGAACAGAACAGAACAGAATAGAATAGAATAGAATAGAATAGAACAGAATAGAATAGAACAGAATAGAGTATTTCAGTTGGAAGGGACCTACAAGAATCATCTAGTCCAACTGCCTGACCACTTCAATTAAAGCATGTTGTTAAAGGCATTGTCCAAAGGCCTCTTAAACACTGACAGGGAAGAGGCATCGACCACCTCTCTAGGAAGCCTGTTCCAGGGTCTGATCACCCTCTCGGTAAATGTCCAGTCTGAACCTCCCCTGACAGTGTCTCAGAAATACTAAAAAAACCAAAAAGCTTTTGCAATTCCTATGCTTTTGTGAGAGATACTCAAAAGTGGAAGTAGCAGAAACAATAGTGGTGTTCTCATAATTATATTCTCATGCCAGCTTAATCTGACAAAAGGTCCCAAAATACTGTCTTGTGTTAGAAAGGAAAAAAAATCCCATCATTTACCCAAATAAACTCTTAAAAGCAAATTACATAACTGGTAAGGTGATGTACCTTAATATGAAGAAAATACTACATCAATGAAATACTTGCAATCAGTTAAAAGTATGTTAACTTTCCTTGATATCAAGCTACTTGAAACACTGTATGAGCAGAAGTCCAAATAAAAATACAACTAAATTCCACAAATCTATTAAAAAACCCCAAGAAAACAGAAATCACTGGATCACTGGCAATACTTTTATGGAAGACTATTTTATTACACTAAGATTAAACCAAAAAAAAAAAAAAAAAAAGGAAAGAAGTCTTTTTCATTCACAATGGCAAGTTCCCCAAACTAAAACCAGTATTAATTCTCTGAAGAATATAGTTACGGATAGCAGTGAAAGCAAAGCTATATAACATCCTGTTGAGGCCATAAGCAAAGCATACCATAACTACGCTAGTTTTTACTCTCTGCTATCAATACTTATTTCAAGAGCAACAAGTTGATAAAAATTGTTAATTTCTAATATTGTATACCCTTATTTGTTTCACCACAAGGAACAAAAGATTACTGATTACTTCTACACTATTCAATAAAGAAGTTGACTTAACCTTCTACTTTTTTTTTTTGTCACATTAATAATATTTATAAAGTCAGAGTTTTATAATAAGGAGATCCAAAGGGTCCTCTTAGTTCCCTGGAAATTCTGAAAAATGGAAGATTTAAGTATTCATCCAAGTCCCTCATTGCCTCACTCTACAGCATAAATGTCAGGTTTTTTCTATATTCCCAGCATCCAGCAGTTCAAAAGAATTTAAATAATACTGAATCAGTGCATATTCCAAACCCCCAATATTTCAAAAAACAAGTGCCTATTCCAAAAGGTAGAGGGAATAGCTAGTATGGTTTTAGTCCCTGTGCTTTCTTTAATCTTATATAGATTTTCTAATCACACAGTGGATGATGCCAAATTTGAGTGAGCACAGTTGCCACACCACACACTAAGCTTAATTTTAAGTGAACATAGTAAACAGAGCTTTACTTCAGTAAAGCCTTTGACACCACTTCCCACAGCATTCTTCTGGAGTAAGCGGCTGCTCATGGCTTAGAGGGGCATACTCTTAGCTGGGTAAAAAGCCTTCTAGGTAGCTGAGCCCAAAGATTGGTGGTGAATAGAGTTCAATCCAGTTGGTGGCCGGTCACAAGTGGTGTTCCCCAGGGCTCACTATTGGGGCCAGTTCTGTTTAATATCTTCATCAATGATCTGGATGAGGGGATTGAGTGCACTCTCAGTAAATTTGTAGATGACACCAAGTTGGGCAGGTGTGTTGATCTGCTTGAGGGTAGAAAGGCTTTCCAGAAGGATCTGGACAGGCTCGAGAGATGAGCTGAGATCAACCGTTCAACAAGGCCAAGTGCCAGGTCCTGCGCTTGTGTCACAACAATCCCAGGCAATGTTACAGGCTTAAGGAAGAGTGCCTGGAAAGCTGCCCAGTAGAAAAGAAGCTGGGGGCATTGGTCACGGACAGCTGAATATAAGCCAGCAGTGTGCCCAGGCAGCCAAGAAGGCCAACAGCATCCTGGCTTGTATCAGAAATAGTGTGGCCAGCAGGACTAGGGAAGTGATTGTCTCCCTGCACTCTGCACTGACGAGGCTGCACCTCAAAGACTGTGTTCAGTTTTGGGCCCCTCGTTACAAGAGAGACATTGAAGTGCTGGAGTGCACCTAAAGAAGGGCCACAAAGCTGGTGAACGGCCTGGAGAACAGGCCTTACAAGGAGTGCTGATGGAACTGGGATTGTTTAGTCTGGAGAGAAGGAGGCTGAGGGGAGACCTCATTACTCTCTACAACTACCTGAAAGGAGGTTGTAGCGAGGTGGGTATTGGTCTCTTCTTCCAAATAACAAGCAATAGGACAAGAGGAAATGGCCTCAAGTTGGGCCAGGAGAGGTTTAGTTTGGACATTACAAAGAATTTCTTCACCAAAAGGGTTGTCAAGCACTGGAAGAGGCTGCCCAGGCAAGTGGTTGTGCCACCATCCTTGGAGGTAAAAAGATGTGTAGACATGGTGCTTAAGGACATGGTTTAGTGGTGGACTTGGTAGTGTTAGGTTAATGTTTGGACTTGATGAGCTTAAGGGTCTTTGTCAACCTAAATGAGTCGATGATTCTATCATTCATCTACCACATTTTAGTTAACCAAAAGAAGTACTGATATATCTTCCAAATATATAAACATTTATTTACTTCATAATACAAAATTAATATAGGGTATATAATGAAATTGAAACTAAAATCTATTTCAGATACATATTAACTATATTTACAATCTGAAAAGTATCTCAACATTCACAGTCTGCCATGACAATGGTAATCCCATAGTCAGATCATGTAGCCATCAGACTGGACACTCTCATATGATTGTAGACAATGACTCGTACTGTAGTGGGCTTCATCCCAAGATTTGTATTTACCAGACTCCTGGTAATACTTCAAAACACTTCTTATTTTTGGCAAATAAACTTCACCAACCATGGTTTAGGATGAATCATACTATTTATTTCTCTGTGATTTGAATGTCTGTTTCTCAACTGAGTTCAAACAGTATACTGCTCGCTAAATTCAGGAAAAATGTAACAGTACAAGAAAACGCACAGCTTTCTTCCCGGGCTTAAAATGCAGACACTACAACCACTAACAACATTACTGAACTGGCTGATTTAGTTTACACTGTCCCTTACTTGCAGATCACAATGGGCAAACATAGACCTCTGTGTAACAATGACAGACCACTAAAGACTATCAAAAGACAGCTTTGCTGTGGTATCAATGAACTGGGAAGAAAACTCTTTTATCCTTTCCATCCACTTTTCAGATGGCTTCAAAGAGCGAACATCATACAACACCCAGTCCCCTAGCGAACTCACTCATGTATTGTTGTCCTGTCCTTAGAATTAATCAGTGATACTAGTTTTTCCTTCTGTAAAAAGAATCTTCATTCCTTCTTCTATATGACCTTTCATGAACTGCTCTCCTCTAAGTTCTCAAAGTCACCATCTGTCTTCACTCTATTTCTGTCAGTCATTAGAGTAAATTATCAACTGATATGAAGATTATTTAAATTCTGATATTACCTATTAGTACTGTTTAACAAAGTCTTAGCTGCATGTACATCCTGTCAGTGTATGTGCTTGCTTTTCCTTCATCTCTTTCTTTGCTCTTTCCTGTTATGCTTATCTGCCTTTAGACTTTATCCCAATTTAGATTTTGGTTGTAAAGACAAAAACTTGCCCTTATTTCATCTTTAGCTAAAAAGTGTAAAGCATTATTTGAGGCTCTTAGTGTTATTTTAATAGATTCAAGAAAATGGGAAAGCATAGTTTTCCATAAGAAGCACTCCAAAATTGTACTTGAGGTGCAACTCTTCCCCTCATGCTTTTTTTTTTTTCCCTTTATTTTTTTAAATGTCTGATCACAGGCTGGAGTATTACATTATAGTCACAAAGTTAGCTTCTTCACAGGACTTTACATACATGTGCTTGACACTAGTTAGAAGATTAGAATACCCAATAAAAAATAAAATATTCAAGTACTCAATTGACAAACTATATTCAACCATTTATTAGGAATCACAACTATGTAATCACAATATATGTATCTGCAGGAATATAGAAAGAAAAAAGTCAACTGTATATACCAGAGAACAGTCGGTATTTACAAAAAAAAAAGAAAGCTACATGATGGTTTGCAATTTTATAGGAAAATTATTTTGTTTCCACACAACGATCAGGTGGCGGTACTAAATTTTATCTAGGAAATGCAACCACAGGCTGCAATGTTAGTAGTTTTTCAGAAAATAGTAACCCTCAAATTATACTGTCTGTGGTTATAAACTACCACAAACTACTTCTGAAGTCAGACATGCTTAAAGTCTGCATGCAGTGGACTACTCCTTTTCCAGACTTTGCAAGCATATTAAAAAAAACTGATCTAATGGCAGAGATCTCTTTCCGCTCAGTGCTACTAAGCTGCGTGCTTCCTCACACACTCAAGATTGCACAACATGTTCTTTTAGTGAAAAATGCTTTTCTGTGTCCTTATGGAATCATCATGGTCTCCAAAAACACTGGACACACTAATGTTTCTGCAAGAAGATGGAAAAACAAGAAGTGAAGCTGAAAACAATGGCTAGATATCCTTTTGAGACAATTGTAAGCAAACTCCCACCGAAAGTTGAACAATATGGCAAAGGCAATCAAAATTAGAGA